AATTTTCCATAGATAGTGTTATAATATTTATATATTATAATTTAATAATTTAATATAATTTATTTATATATATTTATATTTGTATTTAATTTAATATATATTTATATAATATAACATTATAAATATAATATTTACATATTATTATTATATAATATTATTAAATATTAATATTTATATAATATTTATTATTATATTATATTATATTATAATATAATATTTTAAATATATTATATATATAATATATTTATATTTAATATATATTTTGTAAATAATATTTAAAATTAATATTATTAGTATTACCTAATAATACTTTAATGTTATTAGTATTTATTTAGAACACAATTTTTTGAAAATAATCTTTACTCATAGATCGGCCCCTATTAAAGCAAATTTAGTTCACGGTAGGGATGGTTTACCCTTCAGCAAGAGTAGGCGGTCATAGATCCACGAATTTGTTATAGCATAATAATTTGTTAGAATGAAATCTAAGATTTCTTAAAGATTATATGAACTCCTCGCAGATTTCAAGTCTTTTAAACGTACATTGAAACGATTAACGGTAGTTTCTCCCGTGCCAAGGGTGACTGACAACAAGAGCAGCATTCGCCCACCCAGATATGCCACAAATTAAGTTCATAACAAGTTTGATAATAATCCTTCAACTAACTTTAAGCGATTTTTCGTATTCTGTCTTATCAACTTTTCGAGGGGTGGTTTCTCCTCCTAAATATGAAAATGGGTCGATACATAAAAAGATACGTCTCCCTTATTTTTTGGTCCTCTGTAACATATCCAAAAATCAAAGCAATCGGAGGCGGACATCTAAAAACTCTTCCTTGTGAGACAAAATTACGTTTACCTTGATCTCCGCTTCGACTTTGAGCCTCCGGAGTCCGCACGCTTCCCGCCACTGGTCAGCCTCTATCCTGAAAGGCAGGCCGCCTTCCGGGATCGCGTCTAAATCGCGCAAGCCACGCAGATAGGCCAGCCAGTCCCGCGGCAGCAGCTCCGATTGGTTCGGCGTCGAATCGAGGACTCGGTCTGCGAGTTCGCGAAGGAACACGGGCGACGTCCCGCAGGCGGCGGTCAACGCGGTCCTCGGACGTTTCCGATAATGCCGGAGCAGGTGTTCCGCCGCCATCGGCTGCTTCGACTCGAGGAAATCGGCGCGAAACTTCTCCTCGAGCTGCTTGTCCCGTCTGCGCTTCGTCTCGTACCGATTCCTCAGCTCGATCAGGCCCGCCTCGAACAGATCGCACTCCGCGGCGAGGGCGCGCACCCGCTTGATCGCCGGGGCCAGCGAACGCTCGTTCGCGAGTCGAATCTCTCGTCTGCGTCTGCCGATTCGACGGTGCCAGAGAATCGTCCATGTTCCGGTCAACCTCTCCAGGAGCAGGGATCGCTCGATTCGAATCTTTTCCGCTGCCAGCGCGTTCAACCGGTCGTCGAACGCTCTCGCGCGGCTCCAAAATTCTCCTGAAACGAGGAAAATGTTGAACAAACATCGACGACGAAGGACAAAGACAAAGACAGAACGAACCGGTCGCTCGGTCGATGTTCTCTTCCAACGTCGACCTGTACGCGAGACGATCGGCTCGTAACATTCCCAACTTGTTCTCGTAAGTCTCGATCGCCTCTAGATCCTCGCTCGTGTAACTGGACGGGTCGTTGTCGTTGGCAAGACACTCCGGCACGGGCACGATTCGCTTCGCTTTTTCTTCCAATCTGAAACGTTTGACACCATCCCACGATATCAAGTCAAAGCCCAACTTTTGAAACGCTCTGTCGCGAATATGATACGGCAGCAAACCTATCTTTTCGATGTTATCGTTAATCATCGACCATGAATTTATTGTATCATTTTCATCTTTGTAACGAAGGGTTTTCTCACTCGTAAACACTAAGTAGATAATGATTACTTCTATGTGTTGAGGATTGTCGAGCGAGGGTTTTATGGCGGGGGGCCATGAGCTTGGGACCCGTGAAACCGGCTAGGGTATGGGCTTGTCACCCGCTCCATGTTGAAGGGAGTTTTCCGGTCGCCCCAAGGCACATGGTCCACACTCTTGGCCATCGGCAGTATTGCCCGCCATAAACACTGGACCCTAGGCCCATAGCGCGCCGCGAGTCGCGGAAGACGGTACGTCTTGGGACAACGGGCAATTTGGAAAATGGTTTGCAGATGTCGGGAAGTTCCCGGGCCCATGCGCGGCCTCGAACTCCCGCGCAAAGATGCGGTACTGCCCCTTCTTAGGTCCCAGGCGTTGTCTTTCGGGCTCGTCGCGATTGGGCGGCTTTCCTCAACACCCACCCC